GCTGAGACCCCACAAAACCCAGCACCATGTTGTTGAGACCGCACAAAACTGAGCACTATGTCTCTGAGACCCTCCAAAACCCAGCACTATGTCCCCGAGACTCCCCAAAACCCAGCACTACCATCCTGAGACCACCAAAGCCCAGCACTACAGCCCTCAGGCCCCCTAAACAAATTACTAAGTCGCTGAGACACCACAAAACCCAGCACTACAGCCTTCAGACCCCCAAACCCCAGAACTGGGGGGAGGGATAGCTCAGTGGTTTGAGCATTGGCCTGCTAAACTCAGGGTTGTGAGTTCAATCCGTGAGGGGGCCATTTAGGGATCTGGGGCAAAAATCTGTCTGGGGATTGGGCCTGCTTTGGGCAGGGGGTTGGACTAAATGACCTCCTGAGGTCCCTTCCAACCCTGATATTCTATGATTCTATGAACTAAGATGCCGAAACCCTCCCCCCCGCCCAAACTCTGCACTACCTTGCTGACACCTCCCTAAATCCAGCACTACCACACCGAGACCCCAAAAAGCCCAGCACTATGTCACTGAGACCCCACAAAACCAGGCACTACAGTCCTCAGACTCCCTAAACAAAGCACTAAGTCGCTGAGACCCCCCCGCAAAACCCAGCACTACTGGTCTGAGACCTCCAAAACCTAGCACTACAGCCTTCAGACCCTCAAAACCGAGAACTAAGTTACTGAGACCTCCCCCGTAAAACCCAGCACTACAGCCCTGAGACACCTGAAACCCAGCAGTACCATGCAGAGACCCCTCCACCAACCCAAGTACTATGTCGCTGAGATCCCTGAAAACCCAGCACTACCACACTGAGACCCCTAGAGGCCACAACTAGCTCACTGAAACTCCCGAAAACCAGCAGTATCATGCTGAGACCCCCCCCAAAATCCAGTACTACCATGCTGAGACCCCCCAAAACCCAGCACTACCGCCCTGAAACCTCAAAAACCCAGAACTACAGCCTTCAGATGCCCAAAACCCAGAACTAAGTCGCTAGGACTCCTGCAAGACCCAACACTACTTTGCTCAGACCCCACAAAGCCCAGCACTATGTCACTGAGACACCCCAAATCCCAGCACTACAGTCCTGAGGCCCACAAAACCCAACACTAAATCTTTCAGACCCCCCAAAATGCAGTACTGTCACTGAGACACCCCAAAACCCAGGACTACCACACTGAGACCTCACCCCAAAATCCAGCACTCCCATGCCAAGACCCCCCCCTCAAACCTAGCACTGCTGCACTGCGACCGCTGAAAACCCAGCACTACCTTCGCTGAGACCCCCCAAAACCCACCACTACAGCCCCGAGACCCCCAAAACTCAGTACTACATTGTTGACTCCCCAAAACCTTGCCCTACTGCCCTGACACTCCCAAAACCAAACACTACAGCTCTCAGAGCCCCAAAACCCAGCACTACCCTGCTGAGACTCTCAAAACCCAGCACTATGTCGCTGAGACCCCAAAACCCAGCACTGCAGCCCTCAGACCCCCAAAACCCAGCACTAAGTCGCTAAGACCCCCCAAAATCCAGCACTGCTTTGCTGAGACTCCCAAAATCCAACACTACCTTACTGAGACTCCCAGAACTCACCACTATCATGCTGAGACTCCCGAAACCCAGCAGTATTATGCTGAGAGCCCCCCAAAATCCAGCACTACCATGCCTAGACCCTCATACCCAGCACTACCTCTCTGAGACCCCCCAAAACACAGCACTACCACACTGTGACCCCCAAAACCCAGCACTACAGCCCTGACACCCCCAAAACCAAGCACTACTGTGTTGAGACTCCACAAAATCCAGCACTGCCTCGCTTAGACCCCCCAAAGCCCAGCACTACAACACTGAGATACCTGAAAACCACCACTATTTCGCTGAGACCCCCAAAACCCAGCATTACCATGCTGAGACCCCCCCAAAACCCAGTATTACCACACTGAGACCACTGAAAACCCAGCACTACCGTGCTGAGACCCCCCAAAATCCAGCCCTACCATGCCAAGACTCCCCAAAACCCAGCACTGCTGCACTGGAACTGCCGAAAACCCAGCACTACATTGCTGAGACCACCCAAAACCCAGCACTACAGCCCTCAGACCCCTAAAACCTATGTCAAGGCTGATTCCCCACTCTGACACTTCGAGTGCAGAAGGTGAGGGCCTGCAAGGATTATAAAAATTAATACTGGCCACTCCAGAGAATCCACAAGCAATAATGAAAAAAAAAGGAATAAAACTAATCTCGTCTTTCTAGACATTCCTGATCTACTTACATATCTGGGGTTCTAAATGAGTAGTTTCTAGGTATGATTCTGATGATCTTTTCATACCTGGCCCAAGCTTCTTACAGCATAGCTGCTGCCCTGTCCGCCTCTCCCCGGGAGAACAACAACAGACAGACAAAAGGGAGTCTTTTTTAAATTTTAAAAAGTTCTAGCCTTCCCATTGGCTCTTCCCATTCACTTCCTTTTACCTATGCATAGCAGAGAGACTTTTTTTAACCCTTTGCAGGTAGAGCAAGTAGAGAACAACTACTAAGAGGGATTTTATAGCTATTGGCTGGCTGGGTGTCCATAAAAGGGAACTACCCTCACCCCCCTTCATTTATCACAACCCAGTTCTAAGTCGCTGAGACCCCCCAAAGCCCAGCACTACCTCGCTGAACCCCCACCAAGCCCAGCATTACTGTGCTGAGACCCCCCGAAACTGAGCACTACCATGCTGAGACCCCACAATACCCAGCACTACCACGCTGTGATCTCCTAAACACAGCAGTACTGTGCTGAGACCCCTCCAAACCCAGCACTATCACACTGAGACCTGTCCCATGAGACCCCCTAAATCTGCAGCACTACAGCCCTGAGATGCTATCCCATGGGATCGAAAGCAGCCTGATGACAGCTTTGAAATCCAGCTTGGACCACTGCAAATTGCTGCCTGCTGGAATGGAACAATCTTTGGAGTGGCCTGGGAGACCATGGCTTTGTTGTGACAGGTGAGTGAGTGCTGTGCCAGTACCTGCTGTTACTTGCACTCCTGGGGGAACTCCAGCTGGGAATTGGGTGGGAGCAAAACTCAGACCCCTAGAATTCCCCAGGAACTCTTCTGTCTCACACACAGAGTCACACTAAATCCAGAACACTTCCTGTGGCCTCGCACTTCTGTCTAGCTTTCCACCCTAGATATGTATGAATATCTTTGGTGCCCAACAAACCAGAGTGAATCAATAGTTGTACCTAGATCTGCCTATGTCCTTTGCACCAGTGGAATGATACAAAGCTGGTTGAATCTCAGAGAGAGGAACTCACTTGTTTTGTACGGATAGTATTCGATCACCAGGCTGGTATCATCTGAGAAGAGGGTGGCCCCATCCCTGCCTTGGAAGAGGAAGGAGGAGTTCCAGGTTGGTTTCTCTGGGGGTCCACCAGGTTGGGTGACCTTAGATATGGGGGCGAAAAGACGACAGTGTCAAAATATACAGAGAGAAACACCTTATTTAGGGAGCACTGGAGGATGTGTGGGTGGGGGAATTCCTGTCTCTCCTTTGACAATGCAGAGTGTGCAGTAAATCCATGGGACAAGAGGCCTTTATTGATTGACTAAAGGGCATTCCACAGAGCACACAGATTAGAAGCTGTCAAGACTGGGCCTTCAGGCATCAGTGATCCCTGTGTCTCCCCAGGGCTCCCTGCAGCGAATCCAGCCAAGCAGACTCCTGAGGGAGGCTTGTACTGTGCCCCTTCAGGACGCTATGTTCACGGTGACTATTTGCAGGGACAGCAGGTGGCCATTCCAAAACCAGGGAACAATCTATGAATCTAGGGTTGCCAGGTGTCCAGTTTTCGACCAGAACGCCTGGTCGAAAAGGGACCCTGGTGGCTGTAGCCCATAGGATTATTCTGCTAGCTATTATAGTCTACTAATCCAGTCAGCAGTATTAATTAATATGTTTCTTTTTCTGAAATTAATCCATTTTATTCTTATATTTTATCAGTATTAATTCCTTGGAATTTAGAATGTGTTGAAGCATGTGTTTCCTAATAATAAGTTTTGCTGAAATGCTGAAATGGAAGAAGCCTACTGGCCTGTAAGATCCGGTAAGATCTGCTATATAGCAAAAAGTAGAATTAGTTATATGTCAGCATAAAAACTGGGAACCTTTGGCACAGATAAGAATGGTCCCTGAACTTTAGGGAACTAAAGGGAGGAACTATCCACATCACATCACATCACAGGTTTATCCGGCATCTATAACCAGTTGGAAACCGCAGGGTACACCACAAATCGAGGTCGTCAAGAGAGCCTAGGTTGGTAGTTTTGGAGTGAGATAATCCTTATTAATATATTTAGAAAGTAACTGTCATAATCCCCTAACCTATAGGAGAATGGTACTCATACATTTCTTAGGGTATGGAAATAAGATTTGGGTATAGTAGGTTGGGCCGGAATTACATAGGTCAGGATCCTATAAAATACCTTGTAAGAGAGCGCTCTTGAGTTTTTTTAGCTCTTAGGGTCTGCTATGTTCTATATTCTAAGCTCTTAAACTCTCTTTAAGTCCTTACTCTTCTAACTCCTGAAGCTTTGGTTTCTTGGAGTGCTTTTTCCAGTTTTCCTATACTCTGTTCTGTCTTCTATCACGCTATCAGCTCAGCTTGTGCAGTATAGTATAACTACTCAACATTCCTAACTATTGGGGAAGCCAGCACCATCGCGTAATCGGGCATGCCAGGAGTGAGGCTGGTCCTTTACCTCCTATTACCGGGCTCCCAAGGAAGGGTGTGAGTATGTTAGGTTAAGGTACTTATAATAGAAATGTTACCACCAGGAGTTTTGGAATTCTTTTACTGTTTTGCAGTTATAAGCTTCATTGCATTCCTTATTTTTTTGTTAATGTCAATAAAGATTTTATCAATTTGGTATTGTCCTCAGTGAACGCGTTCTTGCCAAGCATCCCGAGAGTCCTCTCCCGATATAGAAAGTTCTTGAACTCTGTAGTCTGAATTGGACAAGAACCTATAAACCTTCTGGTCGGATGCGATCAGTGGCGAGCCATAAAAACTAACTCATCAAATTCAGGTCAACATGGCTCTGGTCAGCACCACCGACCAGGCCATTAAAAGTCCGGTTGGCGGTGCTGTAGGTCTAAGGTAGGCTAGTCCCTACCTGTCCTGGCACTGCGCTGTGCCCCGGAAGCTGCCAGCAGGTCTTCCCTAGGCGGGGAGGGAGAGGGGCATGGGGCTCCGCGCTGCTGTCCTCGCCCCGATAACTGGCTCTGCACTCCCATTGGCCAGAAACTGAAGCCAATGGGGGCTGGGGGAAAGGTGCCTGTGGGTGAGAGCAGCGCACGGAGGCTCCTGCCCCCCCGTAACTAGGAGCCGAACCTACTGGCTGCTTCCAGGGCACAGCACGAAGCGAGGACATGTAGGGACTAGCCAGTCTGCCTTAGCCCCGCTGTGTTGCTGACTGGAAGCCACCCGAGGTAAGCCTGCACCCCTACCCTGAGCCCCAAACCCCTGCCCCAGCCCTGAGCCCCCCAAAACCTAGAGCCCCCTCCTGAACCCCAAACCCCTCATCCCCGGCCCCACCTCAGATCCTGCACGCCCAGCCAGAGCCCTCAACCCCCTGCACCCCAACCCCCTGCCTCAACCTGCAGACTCCTCATGCACTCCAAATCCTTTGGCCCCATTCCCCAGCCTGGAGCCCCCTCCTGCACCCCAAACCCCTCATTCACGGCCCCACCCCAGAGCCCGCACCCACAGCCAGAGCCTTCATCCCCCTGCACCTCACCTCCCTGCCCCTGCCTGGAGCCCCTCCCACACTCCAAACCCCTCATTCCCGGGCCCACCCCAGAGCCTGCACCCCAGCCAGATCTGTCACCTCCCTGCACTCCTGCCCCAGCCCGGAGCCATCATTTCTGGCCCCACCCCTGAACCTGCACCCCCAGCCCAGAGCCTGTACCCTCTCCCATACCCCAACTCCCTGCCTCAGCCCAGAGCCCCCTCCCAAATTCTGAACCCCTTGGCTCCATCCCCCAGCCCAGAGTCCCCTTCTGCACCCCAAACCCCTCATCCCTGGCCCCACCCAAGAGCCCGCACCCCCAGCCGGAACCCTCAGTCCCTCCCGCATCCCAACCCACTGTCTCAGCCCGGAGCCCCCTCCCGCACCCTGAACTCCTCGTTTCTGGCCCCACCCCGGAGCCCTCACCCCCTCCCGCACTCCAACCCCCTGAGCCAGCCCGGTGAAAATGAGCGAGTGAGTGAGGGTGAGGAGATCAAGCAACAGAGGGACGGGGGAATGGAGTGAGTGGGGGCAGGGCCTCAGAGGAGGGGTGGGGCAGGGACGGGGCAAGGGTGTTCAGTTTTGTACTAGTAGAAAGTTGGCAATCCTAGGTCACCAGGCTGCTGAATCTGAAAGTCCTTCGGTTAGCACAGAGATATAAAGGTTAAGACATAGCCTGTCTGGCCAAGCCACAGCAACCAGTCAGCCAAACTGCTATGCACTTCATGTCAGGCTCTGTCTCTGACTCCTTCTCAGTCCAAGGTGAGAGGCCTGTGTCTTTTCAGAGAGCCACCCTTAACCTCACCATCCAACCTCACCTTTCTCTTTGGTCTCCAGCTGGGGCCTTGGCTCTGCTTCCCTGCTGATAGGTGGATGGGGACTTCCTTCCTCTTGGCGGTTGACTACCAGGGGTCAATGTCCTGGCCCCTGGGGGTTTCCTGCTGTCTTTATTTGGACATGATTCAGAGCCAGCTGGTTCCTTAATGACCCATTCATTCCACCCCAGACAGCATGGTGGCACACACATCTCATATCTCCTGATCTGCCCCAAGAGCAGACTTAAACCTTCCTTCCCTCCCCCTCTCTGGGCAAAGTACAGTGGGAAACTGAGGCACACATAGGCCTCTTTAAAAGATTACAGAAAATTCCACTTTGGCACAGAGGCCTATGAGGGTCAATGTTCCACAGTGGAGTAAAGCCCTCACTTTCTACCATGGCTTGAAGCCTCCCCAGACAGCCCAAGTGGGACACAGGACTCTGAGTGCGCCCTGCTTCCGGGTTCCCAGTTCTCCCTCCTCTGAGAGCCCAGCCAGATCCTGTGACAGTCGGTACCCCCCATAAGGCTTTATGGAGATATGCTTATGTATGTGTATATATATATAACATAACTAGACTGTGTTGTATGCTACATATGCCATGTAACATATCTCTCTAAAGGTTATGATCTACTGAATCTATTAATCCTATTTGTATGCATGTATCATTTTTGTACTCAAAGTTATGAATATTGGCCGTGTACTGGCTTGATTTCTAAATAACCTTAGTAGAGCATTTGGTCAGTTCCTGGAGAAAGGAATTTGCAAAGTTAAGTGTCCAATCAGGAAGCACTTAAGGAACAATGCATCTTGGAATGCTCCAATCCACATAAGAAGTCTTCCTGGAGACATTCAAGATACCATGTGGGCAATGGCTTCTGCCTGTAAAAACTGTGAGTCATGCTTGGACATGTGACTTGCCCAGGTGACTCCAGAACTCCATCTTGGAGCTGGACTTTGCATAGGAGAGAGGAGAGGGTCTCCACCCACAAGAGAAAGTCTATTTAAGCCTGTGGGAGACCCCTCCATTTTGTCTTCAGATGGCTAAAGAGAGAGCCTCTCCACCCCCAAAGATACCTGAAAGAAACTGGAACAAAGGACAGTGACTGCAAGGGGTGTGAGTGATTGCTGGACCCAGACTAAAAGGAGATTAGTCTGTAAAAGGAAGCATTCTGGAACTGGTGAGGATTTTATCTGTATTTAGTTGAATTAGACATAGGCCTGGTCTACACTACGAGTTTAGGTCGACTTTAGCAGCGTTAAATCAAATTAAGCCTGGGCACGTTCACACGACGAAGCCCTTTCTTTCGATTTAAAGGGCCCTTTAAACCGGTTTCTTTACTCCACCTCCGACGAGGGGATTAGCGATAAAATCGGCCTTAGCGGGTCGGAATTGGGGTAGTGTGGACGGAATTCGACGTTATTGGCCTCCGGGAGCTATCCCACA